GGTGCGGGTGCCGGTTCGGGGTTCCCCCGCGGGACGGTGGCGGAGGGCGCGTTTCTCTCCCCTGCGTGCGGGAGCGAAGCGGACCCCTTGAAGTGCAGGCACCGCCGGGAAAGGGGCTTTCTGGAACGGTGTTTTAATTAAATATCGCTCTTAAACTTTTTCCGCCACAAATGACGTCCGCCCTCTTCCTACGCCAGGCCCTAGAGAGAGGGGAAAAACTAAGGCCGAAAGAATTTAGGATGCACCCCCAGGGGTTGTTGTACCAAGGTGAGAAGTGCTGGATAAAGTGCATTAGCTGTAATGGTCGACGAATATAAGCAAAGCAAGGTTGACGAAAAAGGGTGGTACAGTTACATGTAGTAAGAAAAATAAGCTTTTGAGTGCCATGTATTCTTCAAAGGGAGATTTAATATAAAGGAACCTGAGCCTTGGTAAATTAATGATGCCTTCAAATACATGTGTGAAAAGGAAAAAGGGTGTTAAGCAGTTAACTTTGAGGGCCACTTTAATCTTACAATGTGTAATACTATGTGCAGGAACTTGATGTTCAGTGCTGTAGATTGTGAGGTAAGCCGTGCGGTGTAGGGAGACGTAGGCCACTTGTTTACTGAAGATCACTTGCAAAAGTTCAATTTGGAAGCAAGCCAGAAAAACGTAGATAAATAGACAAGTGAGAGACCTTTAGGCTAAGAACCACTTTGTGCCCTTATTTCTGAATAATCCCTTCTGTGCTCTAATTTCCTCTTTTTGCTATACTAAGGACAAAAAATAGTCTTGGGAGAGATAGAGCGTTTATTAGCCGAAGAGTTACTTAGAAAGGGAATAAGCATTAATTAGTTTTTCTGTAATACACTGGCTACCATCTTTGCATGTGTAGCACACACCTTATACCTTGAGGTCAGCCTTTTAACGTGTTTAAGTTGCATCAACAAAATTGTCACTAACATTTTCCATTAGCATTGGGAGCTTTAAAAGGTAATCTTTAGAAAGTTTCAATATTTGGCACTTAATTTTTTTCTTGTTATTGTATCAGAGGACAGTAATTTGAGATTTCTTCCTTTATACTAGAATGTGTGATGAACAGATCTACATAGTTTCATGTAGTCTTAATGTGAAGACTTGATACAGTAAGGAGATCCAGTTGATTCCCTGAGGTACCTTCTTCTATCTCCCACCCTCATATTTCTTTTTCTGATACCTTTGTCATCATGCTTCTGTCCCTTATGCTTTGTGTGGAGACAAATTAATATCTTTCAAACGAGTACTTAGCTTCAGAGGTTTTACTGGGGTTTTGCAATTTTCAGTGTATATTACAAGAAACCCTAAAGTTTTGTCAGATAAAAATGAGAGAATTTTGATGTATTTTGACAAGTGCTTCTATATCTAGAAAGGTTCAGAATTTCTCTTTGTTATTGGGTAGTTTGCATAACAGTATTTTTTGATGAATGCTTATAACGAGAGGGCAGAAGTCCATGCCCTTTAAAATTTTGCAGTATGCTAGCATATTTTCCCTTAATGGCACGAGGTGTACAGTACAGGGCTTTTATTGTATGTCAGGAAGAGAACAGCCCCCTGCCCTTTTTTTTTTTAAAAAAAAAAAAAAAACTACTTTCTTGGGAATTACTGAAAAGGAAAAGTTCCCTTAGATAGAAAAAGCACGTCTCTTATATGAGATCTTTGATACTCCATGCGCGGTATCCTACCTCGTCTCCTGTTTATCTTAACTAGCATTCACCTGTAGTATACCTTCCTGTCACGCTTCAGTTTGCCCCTGAGTGTTTCAATTTTAGTGCCTGTGAGTATGGAATAGTGAATCAGCTGATTTGGAAATCACGCTGTAGCAGATTTCCCTCACATTTTTTCTAAATATGCTTCAGTCCTTATATATATTAAGTATTTTTTGAGGTGTACTGAACAATGAATGCTAAACTGAAGAGTGGTGTTTTTAGGCAGGTTAGTATATAGGATCAAGAATAGGACTAGAATTTTGGATTAAACAGTAAGAGGCTACTGTTTTAATACACAACAGCCTTTGTTTACTGATGAACTCTTACTAATATACCAATGACACCCAGAAAATGTCACATTTGGCTTCTAAACTAACCTAGGAATTGTGAAGGCATTTGTGTTATTTGCCCCACACTTTCCAAAAATTGATAGCATAGAATACAGAAATGTCACCAGCTGAAGCACAAAAAAGCCGTGTGTGTGTTGTGCAGCTGATGAGTTGGAAGCCATTTGAGTTTCCTTAGACCAGAACCTGCTTTTTTAAAGAGTTTTCTGTGGGATCAAGAAATCTGAGTGCTTGAAATATTTGTGTAGATTTAATTTTCTTGTGCTAAGCAGAATAAAGCAATGGGGTTCTGGAATCCATGCAGGGGTTGAATGTGTTCAGTGAAATTAGCATATGTCCTTCAAGTCTATTCTGGTCTCATCGACATACAAGGAAATTATATTCTGGAAATTCTGGGAAGCTTGGAAGGTGAGCATTTGGCTTTGGAAGTGAGGTGGGAGCTTCATGGGTGTGCTTTGGGTTTTTTCTTGCATTTGATGCTCAAGAGAAGCAGGAAAGAGGTCAAACTAAACTCTATACCCTAGTATTTCTTCTTAGGGTCGTAAGGAGGAGAATAAGATGTTTAAGTGTGCTAACAAGAACACTTGCCTTGTGTGGTTTAATTACCATATTTTATGATACTTTGCTATATTCTCCCCCACAGCTGTAAATATTCTAGCAACTTGTGAAAAATTTCCGTTCTCTAAAATCTAATGAGAATTTTATGTTTTCTGCACCAAAAGCTTCCTTTTTAGACTGGTTGGACGGTTGCTATGCCCAATATGCTGGTTTTAGTCATACTGTATTCTCTCTCATTGATTAAAAAGTGGCATATCCTTTTTATGTAATCTTTCTCCTAATGAATGCAGTTTTTGGTCTTTTTTTTTTTTTTTTTTTTTTTTTTTTTAAAGGAGGCAAGGCAGGAGAACAATAATACCTAATATATGTGCTTTTTTGAGATTAAAGGCAGGGAGCTGAGCTACCTAATTGGTAATGCCCCATAAGCTTCTTGAAGGGGAAATGGAATCACAAATGTACTTCAACAAAAATTAGCATTTCTTTGCAGGAGTCTGAAATAGTCAAGTCAGAAATACATAATAAAAAAGGCAAACATTTGAGTGTTCAGAAAACTTGAATTGTTCTCTTCCCTGCTGCTGCATTGATGTGGTCTTGGTGAAGTCAGGCAGGGGCAGCTGTAAAATGTGAAAAAGTAATTAAAATATAGGTAGTTACCAGGCATCTTCAGAAATCTCACCAAGTCTCTTTCTTCATGTTGACCTTGGCAAATGTTTTAATTTATATTGTTTTCATTATACAGAAGGAAAATACAATTACATGTTTTGCAATAAATACTGTATTGGAAAATACACTGTAAGAAAAGAATTTTTGGTGAGAGAATGTACCAGGTCCCTTGACTTCCCTGTTTCTAACCTACTATTTAATACTTAAAGGCATACAGTTGTCCATTTAAAAAGAAAAAAAAAATTGTGCAGAAAATTTTCGTCCACACTCCTTTTACTATATGTACAAGCAATGACTTGTGTGTGGCAGGGATTTCTACATCCTTCATCTGTCTAATTTCTTTTTTATGTATGGAGTTTTTTTCTGGTTTTAGGGGATGTTAAATAACAAATCAATATTTCTATCAAAAATTTTAAAATCAAATACTGCATGTTTTCTGTGCCAATTTTTCAGTGCATTTCTTCTGCTGTACCCACTTATTTTTCTGTAAGATTATGAACCAGTGAGATAGTTGACTGAAAAAATAGGCTGTCGCTTGCACAAGATCATGTTAATACTGTCTAAGATAACTTGAGTGTTGTTGGGAAGACGATGCTTTTCACACAATAATAATTTTGAACTGCTGTATGTTCTAATCTTCATTAAGTGTCATGCCACATCAAACACTTCTTGATTCAGAAGAGGAACCAATAGATGCTAACAGGGGGTTATTGCTTTTTTAGGTTTTTCAGGTTTCCCAGCTTTCTTGTTTTTCTTTCCTTCTCTCCTCTTTTGTTGCATTGACTCTGTGATTTTTCTGTGCTCTCTGCTGTCCATATTTTTAGGAGTAAATCTATACTCCTAATATTATTCGCGATTATCTTTTTAGATTCTCCCCCCTGCAAATCACACACTGTTATGTCAGAATAGAAACAGAGTGAAACCAAACTGTATCCCTTGCTTACATGTCGAATGCATCATATAATGGAATGTATGATGTCTTTTTCTTAAAAACAGGTAGGCTTTCTGTGTCTTTTACTTTTGCCAATAGAATGTTAGTTTTGTTCTGTATTTGGAACCAAACTTGGATTCTGGAATAGCAGTATGAATTTTACTCTTTTCTTAGTTTATGTTCATTTGTTGGACTTAAACTGAGGAATACTGTTGGCGTACTTCTCCCTCTTTGATATGTATCCTTTTAATGAATTGTTATCTTTAACTTCATTAGAGTTTTACTTTGCTAAGCAGAGTAAGCAAGACTAATTTTTCTTTTATACAACAGTCTCTGTGGTCATATCAATAGCTCCTTTCTGTAGTTCTTGGAATGAGAACTTATTTTTCTTGAAAACAGGAATTCAGAATTGTGTGTGGTATTCCAGACAAGTTTTTGCTCATGTGCAACAGTGTTCGTATTTCCCTATTTCCATTGCAGAGAAATCCTTGATGTGCATTTGCCTCTTTTTCCTTCTCTTTTTTTCCCTACTACAGAGCTGCATTAGTTTATTGTTGATCACAGAATGACTATACTCCCAAATAACAAGTCCTGACTACATGAAAGAAGCTTTTTTCGGTCCCTATGAGCAGGAATTTTGCACTTCATATAGTTTTTATTTCATGTAGCTTCTAGTATGACGTTTTTCAGACTGGTCACTTGTTTGTGTGATACTCTGTTCCCCTTTTGTTGCAGTACTTTCCACTTCTGCCTCATCTAAATCTACCTATTTTCTGGCAGCCTTGATAAAAAAAAGAAAAAGTTTGGTGTGATTTTTGGAGGAACTAGTAGTTCTTTTCTAGTCCAGTTGTTTCATGTTTGCATCATCATACTGTATTCTTGTAGAAAGTTTGTTTCTCATATTAGGATTACCCTCTTATCCCATTTATTTAACATCAGATGATTTACTGAGTCCAGATAGCATCTTGTTTGAGGTTGGTTGTGTTTTTTTTCCCAAGGAAATGACTGATTCATTTGTTAGGTTTTGGATTAGTCCAGCATGTACTAAATCTGCTAACGCTTACTGCATTTTTATCCTGTTTTCCTTTTTAATAAGTCAAATTCAGACTACTGAGTCCAATTTTTTTTCTGTATACTACTGTATTTTTTTTTTCTCTAATCAGATGATAGCACATTTCATTTGATTTTTTAATAAAATGTTCATTGCAGGTTTTTGGGACAGCTCTAATGTTTTGGTGTAGACATGTTTTTAAGTTCCCCAGCTTCAATGTATTGGTCCCCTCAAGTTACACTTCTACCTTGGAAGGTGTTAATATATTTGCATTCCCGCTAACTAGCCTGTCTTTATTCCTGTATCTAATGGCATTATTTGTGTTGGAAACCAAAGCACATTTTATTGTCACCAATACCTTCACAAAATGGTATCGCTGCTTCTGTGGTTTTTTTCAGTTGTTTATAAATCATAAGCAATTTCACTGCTCTTTTGGAGTGTAGG